ATCTGCTTTCTTTGTCCATACATCTGTTCCCTATTGTTGTCATATTGCATGTGTGAAAATGAGGGTTTAAATGTTAGCAATCCTATGTATAATGGTCTTAAAAATAAAGAGGATGTTATGCACAGAATTAACATATAACAGACATTATTCATAATGAATATGATATTGAATAACAGCATAACAGCACTTATATAAATACCACCTTGTATCTTAGAGTGTGTAGTAAGCTTAAGAAATGAAGATTGGCAAGCTGGTGTTGATTGCTGCTGATGTTTGCACTATAGGTCCTGCAGGAACAGAAGAGTTCACCAACACAGTGTTGTCCATCCTTGAGGCCATCAGCCAGCACCCAGGTCTGACCACACAGTTCTCTGGACCAGTCATAGAGAAGATCTTACCAGCACTAGGAGCCCTCATATCCAGTCAGAATGGTAAACAGAAGACTGGGGGCTCAAATTTATGTCTCTGTGTTTTTTTTGTACGGAGAAGAATGTGAAAATTTAATACCCATTTTGAGTTTAGGGCAAATGTAATGTTTTACTGGGGGAACCAAAATGTTGAATTATACTTAAGCATGGATACTGCTTTTTTGTCTGATCTGACCTATACAGTATCTATCAAAAAAACTCCTGTGGCGCTGATAGTAAACAGTAGTGTTTTAATATGGCAGAAATGCAGTTATTTATGCTGAACCTTTTTTATTTCCTTCATCAATTTTCAGTTGATTTTAATTTTGAAAAACTATGAAAACTACAATTGTTTAGAGAGACAACTGATATAATTACTGCAGGTAACACTCGTGCCATGTGTTTGAGGCTGTTCAGTGACCTGGCCACCACCTTCCTGAATGAGGAGCAGTTTGAGGTATCTCACAGAGCCAGCACCAAGCTACTACAACACATCATCAGAGAGACATTGCTGCCTCAGTAAGTGACTGCCAGGTTCAATGGCAGACTTGGTTTGAATAATTTTCATACAAATTTGACAGATATAAAGGTGTGTAAAGTAGTGTATATGTGGTTGTTTTTCCTGTCTTGTTGCTGTTAGGGATGTTTAAAAAATTTGCCTATGCCACTGTATATAATTATTTTTAGTGCCTTTTTTATATAGGTAATATATTATTTTGCACACAATTTGTTCTAGATATGAGCAGATTTTACTGGACCAGGATCCCTTGCCTTCCTATGGCCTGAAGCTGTTGTTAGCTCTACTGGAACATAATGTGGCATTTATTAAGTAAGTTGCAGTGTTTGCCTGTGTTAGCATCAGGTGGCACACTGTTCAGTGCTATCATCTTAAGTTAAATCAGTGTAAAGAGTTACATGAAGATAACTGAAAAAAATTTGATTAAAAAAAATGTAGTTGTAGAAATGACCTGATGAAGGTGCACATTTAGAATTGTCTTCTACCAAACATTACATACATGATTCACTTGGGACATCTTTCTGAATGTTATTGGATAGACTTTATGAGTGACTTTGTAATTTTCTTCTGTCAGGCAGTTTGAATCACTGGGCCTTGTACAGGTGCTCTTTCAAGTTTTGTTGGTAAGTACACAAGGTTTATCATTGTATACATTTGATCTAACAATGAGATGTGTCTTCATACTGGCATGCATATTAATTATATGTAAGCATGTGCATTTATGCATACAGCTGTGCATAGATTAATTTTATAGAAAAAGTCATTTAAAACAAATTAACCTCAGAACTAATAATTAATTAGCATCCTTACTTGAGTAAGACTATAGATTGACATTATGTAGTCCAATTTTATGCTATTATGTGAACGTTTTATATTTTATGTTAATAAATTATATAGTTTGATATTGTTATATTTTATAATCTTACATTATGCCATTATGATTTTATGTTATATAGTCCATTATTTTCCAATTATGTATGTATGTATGTATGTGATTATTATGGTCCAATATAATGCTATTTATTTGATATTAGGACCATCAGAGTAACCCTGTGAGCAATGCAATGCAAAGTATGGTAGGAATTCTCAACTGCCTGGTTTCACACAAGGAAACTGATATACAAGACCTGTATGACCAAGGTGGGTACCTTAAGGCTGTTCCTAGCTTTTCAAATTTTAAGTTTTACATCTCAAAATGGGAACTTATTTTTGAAACAGTGCACAAAATGATTATGCTGGAGTATTTTTTCAATTTTGTGTTCGGACTACCACTTGCCACACTGAGCATTCTTAGTGTAGTGCACATAACTGTATTTAGTCATTGATGGACAAGAGTCATCATGGAGTTTGTATTATTGATTTTTTGTCTTTCAGGTCTTGTTGATCATTTGTCCAATGTGTTCATAGAGGTGACCTCATTACACATGAGTTCAGAAGACAAAGGAGATCCTAAAACACTGTCAGCCATGATGAACTCACTGTTGGAAACCATACATTACCTGCTTAAGAATATCTCTGAGGTGGTCAGGAAGGCTCTCCATGTAATTATTATAATAAAGATGTGGATTCTGGGTATTTCCTCCATTAATCATATGTTTCTGTGGGGAAATGAATTCATACTTTTTTCATTTTTAAACATTAAGTTATATTGATTTTAACTTGAGAAATGAAGTACTTGTTTTGATGAGAATGATTGGCCTAGGAAGCAGTCATCAGAAGCATTTATGTAACATCTTTCTATTACCTCTAAAAAAATATGTATGCAATTGTTTAACAGAATACAGCAATCCTTGGCTAGACAGACAACTTGGTTTGTTACATACAACAAAAGAAATTGGTCAGTTTGATATGTCTGATGGAGATTCACTCTTTATTCCAGATCTGAATATACATGCTTTGATAGATGCATTAACAGCACTGTTTCTTTCAGTCTAAAAAAACTGGTGGTACTGATAACACTGATGCAGAGATGGCAGAACAGTTGCTGTTGAACAACAAACCTTTCACAGAACTCACAGGATTACTCACACAGCTGGTATGCTATTGCTATTGCAGTGACTTTTATGCAGTAACAAAGTAGACAATTACTCTCTGTGTATTTTTCATATTTTTAAAAACAATTAAGTCACTTCAGTGCCCAGTTGGAATGATGCATATATTTTATCAAAAATACCGAGTAACTGATCTTCAGATCAGACGTGTCATACGATCAGGTATGGCCTCAGGTGGAGTGCAAGATGTAGAAACAAATGAAAGAGTTTACTAGAAAAATAAACCATTTTTGGAAGTATTGACATTATAAGTATTTTGCTGGTTGTGTATAAAAGATTGCTCTTTTCAGTTGTGTCATGAGGAGAGTGACATCCAGGAGCTGGCCTGCAAGAACCTGTCCCTGATGGTACAACTCTATGGGGGAGAGTATCCAGAGTCTCTGTCACCTGAAAACATGGTAAACGTCACATGACAATACACGCACAAATTAAACACAAAATTTTAATGTTTTGATACCAGGTATTTTGATAATCCTCAATATCTTTGAATACTTGATTTGTCATTTTTTTAAACCATCAAACTTGTATTTTAATACAAGTTTTGTAACATTTAAAAATGTTACAGGAATGCTACAGTGAGGCTCTAAAAATGGCAGATTCAAAAAAGCAGAAAATTATTTTGAGAATCATCAAGAGATTGGTAAGTAACATGGATGTGGATGCAGTTTATAGCAAGTGTATTTGTGTATTATCTATCATATTCAAAACTGAGTTGTACAGTAGATTTGAAGTTTTCAAAGAAGTTGCTTTAATGATAATGAAAATACAGAGTTACTTGAAGTAAATGTTAAATTGCAAGCCAATTTATTCATTTTAGAGATGACGCTTTTAAATTAAAACTTTGTGACTGATACCTGAACCAACAAAAGTGTCATTGATATCATATATGTAATTATCATTTGTGTGTTGTCCCAGGTTAGTACAGGTGAGGAACATGCCAGGATGTTGAGGGAGGAGGGATCACTGCTCACAGATACAATGAAGAAACTGGCAGATGCTGCTAGGTAAGGGGGTTCATATACTGGGCCAGGTAAATGGGCTCACATACTGGCCCAGGTAAGGGGGCTCACATACTGGCCAAAGGAAGAGGGCTCAACAAACTGACTTTTGACCTATTAAACAGGCCTAAGGCTTGAATGAACTCAAACTTACTTTACTTAAATTATTTTTTAATGAAGATCATGTGGTATTGAAAAAAAATTATATATGTGGCCAAGTGCTAACAAGCTCCCCCAGCTTACATTGCCCTGGCCAGAGGTCATTATATGTCAATCATGATATACTAAATTTAGGTTCCACTACCTAGAAACTTAGTTGCCCTATAAAATTACCATTATTTCCTAATGATAAAAAAGTAAAATATTTTTAAAAAGACTAAACCTTTTTTCTTATGGGGCATGGCATCTCAATTCTACATATAAGGGTTTACTTCACTTATTCTGTTTTATTTTTTCTTCTTCATTTTTAGCTCGCATGCAGATGTAGCACTATCCTCACTTGCATCAGAGATCTTAAGATCTGCTGGACTGGACTGATTGTTACACTTCATCCAAACTGTGAAGAAAAAAATTTTCAGGATGTGTATTTTGGAATAACATAAAACTTACAGAGATACAGTAAATCGTACTGTTAAACGTGCATAATAGCAGATTGGTAGAAACAAGTTACGTTTTCTGTCAGGCAATCAAAAAGCTTTTAGACTAGATTTGCCTCACTTATTGCATCATGTTAAAAGGTGTAAAACGATTGCCTCAAAACTTATCCATATTATTTTTGGATAGTTTGTCATGTCTTCATATGTTGACTGTATTTTTATTGGTAGCAGTACAAATATTTAAGCAGCTTGTGTGTAAATTTGATGTTTTGTTTGTATATAGTGATGTATGTACAAATAAATCTGTTTTGGTTTTAAATAAACTTTGAACTGCTTTTCTTTTGTGCTGTGAAGGAACCAAATACAAACCGTAACTGAAGTTTCACTCAAGTCAAAGTAAAATAAAGCATTTTTCACATGAAATTCGTTCACAGAATTTTAAGTCACTTTTATTACAAGTTTTTCCATTCTTCACAATATAAAATGTGTTATTATATGGCTACATTTGTGCCAAGTCAAAACCAAACTGTTTTCAGAAGTAATTTCTAAAGTACTGTCATTGTTGTTCCAACTTTGGGGAGGGGGGGGGAGGAAAGAATTTTTTATGTATTACCTATTTATCATTTTCCTCAAAACTTTTATCCATAAAACTTACAATGTAGCAAGAAAAGCCTCAAGTACCCCTTCACAGACATCAACGAGTTTGCTTTAACAGAAAAATTCAATTATAATTATTGAAAATGTTATAATTCACATTGCACATGTATGAGCAAATTGCCTTGCAGCAATCAAATACTCCGAAACCAAACCACAAGTTAATTACAGGACTGGGAAGAAAAAGATATTGGTTTCTCTTTTAACCACTGAGATCTTAAGTGACTCTTTTAACCACTGAGATCTTAAGTGACTATCTACAATGACATAACTGTTGATACTTGTTAACTTTCACAATGAGAGCACCTCGAGTAGATCTGCACCTGAAGATCTGAAACTGCTCATAACTGACCAATTAAAAAATACCTTCAAAATACCAACTGTTATGGTTAAAAGGCATCTTGGTAGTAGTAGTATAACAATGCAGGTAAAATAACAATTAGCCATGCAAAGGACCCACGTTCTAGCATATTCTCCCCATGTTTCAAAAAGTTCCTCTCTGAATTGCCCTTGACAGCAACATACACACTGCTCCTATTTAAGTCAGCAAACACCAAGCAAGGTCATCCTTGTTGAAATCTCAGTTTCCTGAAATTCCATGTGTTCATGGCTTTGGTGCCAAGCTTCACTTTTGTGAAATTTCTCAATCCTTTGTTACAGAAACTGTCTATAAAAGGAGGGACCATTTCTTTTCCACTTGGTGCACTCAAATCTTGGTTTACCTTTTTGCATANTTGCACATGTATGAGCAAATTGCCTTGCAGCAATCAAATACTCCGAAACCAAACCACAAGTTAATTACAGGACTGGGAAGAAAAAGATATTGGTTTCTCTTTTAACCACTGAGATCTTAAGTGACTCTTTTAACCACTGAGATCTTAAGTGACTATCTACAATGACATAACTGTTGATACTTGTTAACTTTCACAATGAGAGCACCTCGAGTAGATCTGCACCTGAAGATCTGAAACTGCTCATAACTGACCAATTAAAAAATACCTTCAAAATACCAACTGTTATGGTTAAAAGGCATCTTGGTAGTAGTAGTATAACAATGCAGGTAAAATAACAATTAGCCATGCAAAGGACCCACGTTCTAGCATATTCTCCCCATGTTTCAAAAAGTTCCTCTCTGAATTGCCCTTGACAGCAACATACACACTGCTCCTATTTAAGTCAGCAAACACCAAGCAAGGTCATCCTTGTTGAAATCTCAGTTTCCTGAAATTCCATGTGTTCATGGCTTTGGTGCCAAGCTTCACTTTTGTGAAATTTCTCAATCCTTTGTTACAGAAACTGTCTATAAAAGGAGGGACCATTTCTTTTCCACTTGGTGCACTCAAATCTTGGTTTACCTTTTTGCATATCTCTGAATATAGTCTCTTACTTTATGTTTGAAACTCTCCTGGAAAAAATCATAAAGTAACCATTTTAATTTCACTTATTCTACTACAGTATAGTTAATTACCTTTTCCAAGGAGGTTATATTTTCACCCCTGTTTGTTTGTTTGTCTGTCTGTTTGTCATCAACATAACTCAAAAAGTTACAGACGGATTTTGATGAAATTTTCAGGAACTGTCAGAAGTGGGCCAAGGAACAGATGATTAGTTTTTGGTGGTGATCTGGATCAATAATCAATCAATAATCAAAAATATCGAAAATTTAGGGGTTGGAGACTTTGTTGCCTTGGCGGAGGTCTGCGCTCTCTGAGTCCTTTTCTAGTTTAATACATACTGTTACGATGATGACATACTAAAATTGTATCTACTGCTAGTACCTAATGAAGTATATGATGCACATTCAGTTTCCATCACATCCACTTGATTTGTTAGATGATTACTTTGAAAAGAAATGCAGGTAAAATTATTTTGATCTGTTTTACAGAGTGGCTATATGTGCTAAAAGATGTTACTCACTTTGTCTCTCTCATAATGTTCTGCTGCCTCGACATTTAATGGGTCATCAAAATTAAGGAGGTCCTGTACAGGAACAATAACAGTTCATTATTTTTAAAAACGACTCACAGGGTACAAGTTAAAACCTATTATAGACATATACACTGATTTTAAAAAGTGAATCTCAAAAGTGAAAAGTGACCGTCAAAAGAAGAAAGTCAAACAAAGTACAAAATTGTCTTATAACTTCATCATCAAACGGATTTGAAATATACTTACAGAAAATAGTGAATTTAGCCCCCATATGACATCTTTTAAGTGTCTTGTAGGTGCCCATCCTTTAATAATAATAATAATTATTATTATTATAATAATAACATATTTGCTATGTCAATTTCATAAAAATTTTAATTTGAATAATTTGACAATTTATTTTGTGCACATAAGAATTCAGTGAATAACATATCATCAATTTAGAAAATTAGAGTAATTTTTCCACCTTTACCCAAACTGTAGACCTATTTCTTAATATAAACACAGCAGAACACCACCTCCTAACCATGAAAATGTCAAATTCTAACAAGAACTAAAAATTAAAATCTTTCTTTAAGTTTAAGTCTACGTTCAATCATTGCGAAAGTTATCAGAATCCCTATCAAATCACATAGATAAGAATAATATAGAAGCAAACAGTTTTATAGGATTTTTTATTAGAAGCATTTCTTACCCATGCTATCTATAGAGTTGGTTCGTAAAAGACTAAGGCAAACTTCTCCATCCTCTGTAATATTTGGATGCCATATTCTAGTATTGCATCTGACAGTTGGTGGCTAAAAAAACCAATTCATAGTCTATTTATTGAAGATCAATATGTTTTGTACAGTATACCTGATAAGTGATAATAGATGAAAAACAGAATACATTTCACTTAAAACACTGCTTGGTTTATCAAAACAGAAGAAACGCCATTATGGACCTTAGGTACTGTACATATACCCACAAGTTAAGCAGTCACAAGTCTTGATCTATTAGGAGCCAAGAAGAACTAACAGAATCTGATCTGTTAAAATTTACAGATGAGAAGCAGAAGCCCTGCAGAAAATCAAACAGAAGTTTTAAAAACAACCACTCCTCAACTTACCACCATGTTATATTCTTCTGGAACATCTATAGAAAATTTATATTTCCCACCAGCATAAAAACCATCATCTGGTGTGATTGTTAATGAAAATTGATTCAGTTTGTTGGGATCTTCAAAATGTACTTTACAGCTTTTGGGCGTGTTAAGTTCCATTTCTTGTACCTCTGAAAACATGTTTTTAAAATATTACAATTTTATACTGAAAAAAATTTAATGTGCTTACATAAACTTTTTCATTCACTTTGGAAGAATGGGTGTGGTTACAACATGTTTCTATTTAGAAAGTAAATTACTGCAAAACAACAATAACAAAGAAGTGTAATTCATCTAGAATTAATAAAACATTGACCAACCTTTGACCAGCAATTTATCCCTGATGGAGACTCTCCGCCCACAGCTGTCATCAGAGGCCCCTCCCGCCTGCTGTGCATGCTGCTGCTTCAGTTTCTTTGCAAGAGTGATCATCTCATGTGGCTGGAAACCATAACAGTTAATGCTACAGATCTTCATCATTTAATACATGAAGGTAAAAATTATATTCATTATATGTCATGATACATATTTTATGCTTTTTTTTCAACTCATTTAACACAAACAAGAGTTACTTTGTTTTATGCAGTCTCCTCTGTCCATTTTGTTTGCATTTTTGTTGTTCTGATACTTCCCTATAACTTGATTCTACTGAAATTTTATTTAAAATATAATTTAAAAAACTGTATCATACATTTTACTTTATTAAAATAAATAGTTATTAGAGATGAAAATGTTCTTTGTTCTGGAGGGCTATTTGCACTTAACATGCCATAATACCAACTTCATCCTTCAAAATCTTTCTCCGTCATCCTTGTTGTACATGTATCTGTGACACGTTCTCTAATTTTTTAATAAAATATCCTATAATTTCTTAGTTTCACTGTAGAACCTGAAGGGATAGCCCAAGTGTTATGTCTCTAGCACTCCTATTCACATTTTATATTATTCAGCTAGCTAGGGTCAGAGAAGCTGTTGATGCCAAGAAAAAACTGTCCATTTGTTGTTTTATCAAAGGTGAGTTTGATATATCAGGGTCGTGTCAATACTCCCCGGCACGCTTAATCCTCCGTACCAATAATCCCCCTTAGTAATTTTTTGTATCGGTGCGGGGGAGTATTGGTGCGGGGACGTATCGACATGTAACCGATATATCACAGCATTTATTAGGATAAAAAAGGCCCTTTGTGACGAAGAGCTAGTGGTCAGATTTCCTCAAAACTCTGGGCAAAATTCTCTGACTTTTCATCAGGGTGGGACACTANACGATGCAATTACTCTCATGAGATGAAACACAATCATACGTGAACAAGCTGTACAGACATGGTGACAGAACACAACCGAGGCGCACCTGTATTTAAAACCACAATATCAGAAGTGCTTGTACCCACTTTCACAGCTTGTCTCCCGTCTAATAAAAAATCTAAAACCCAACTGCATAAAAATGAAGGAAATTTCAGTTCGTTTAAAAGCTTAGCATAAAGTTTTTGTGGAATAATGGTATTAAAAGCCGAGCTGTAGTCTATAAATAAGATCCTTGCGTATGTGTTTTTCTTATCTGCATGTTCTAAAATGTTGTGTATGCACATACTAAGAGCGTCATCTACGCTTCTATTGCGTCTATATGCAAACTGAAAGGGATCAAGTGTCTCTGGTACAATGGTTTTAATATACGACAGAACAAGTGGAACATACTGCTCAGTTTTATAGATCTCGTGCACCTATTCTGCTCTGAATGTAGCACAATAGTAATAACATATAAAACCGTAAAACTATATGCTAGTCAGCATGCGACTACGTCCTGATCACCCAGTCTTGATGTACATGTAATGGTACATGTATATGTACATGTAGTAGAATGATAAATGGGACACCGTACCCTTGTCTTGGATATAACAATTCTTTTTCAGTTTCAGAGCAAAGTTACAGTTGTATTGAAAAGTTATAGACAGATGAAACCTCATGTTTTACAGCTATATAATATTTGGCTTACCCCATGAATACTGGAAGGACCTATTGGCTGACAAATCTGATTTAGGCATCCAAGCTCGCACGATGAAAACAAAGCTTGACGGAAGTTACGATGTGCTTAGATCCATGTAAAAAAAGATTAATTTTTGATAATAAAAAAATCCCAAAATTTTTCCTTTTGTCATCTAAGATAACAAAAGGTTAAATTTAAGTGCTGTTTTGTTAATTAAGCAGAATTTAAAGAATAAAGGCCGATATTATTACTGAGTTTTAAGAGGTTATAAGCGTCAAATAAACATGGCGGCTTCCAGTTTCGAGTGGCCTTGGGAGTATAACTTTCCACCGTTTTTCACGTACGTTTCAAGTGATAACTATTCCCATTATTAAGTCACAGCCCAAACAGTCTGATATTAATGGTTTTTGATGAGGCAGTTTCACATGTTGATCAAGTCAGTGTTGTGTACCCTGAATTGTCGCTTTTTGCAAATTTCTAATTCAGTTAATTTGGAAATGTCTCAGATACAATGGACATTATTCATTACTCTGTAATTCACTGCATATTATTGAGAAAAAAGTATGTTCAATAATAGTGGTATGATTTGTATTGCTTGATTACTTTGCAAGTGCTCTACCACTGAGCTATCAAGCCTGGGTCTACCCTGCTAGTCAGTACATAGTACTGCATTTCCTTAGTACATTGTAATTGGTCTCACAGAACAGTCACATCACAGCACAGTAATCAGACAGATGTGAAGTATACAGAGCTTTTACTTGAACAAAATAATTTTAGCATCCAATTTATGCAGAAAACGCTAGGTCTGTCATTGGAAGGTATGTGATGTGTATATTACAGTATATGCCCTTACTAATTAATGCTTAGAAATTTCATAATTAATAAATGCCTGCTAGGTGAAATGCACATCTTTGAAACATTTTCACAATTTTGGTTATAAAAACAATGTCGATTTGAATGCTAATTAAACTGACAAATTGTATGATTTTAAACACGTTGAGTGCATAAACCACTCATACTGCAGTCTGCAAGGCTACTAGAATAAGTTAAATGGAAAGCTCTTTTGAAAACTTACAAAAAAAAAAAAAAAAAATCCGTGCCCATGTTAGACCACTAAATTCACACATTATGAAAATTCTACTGCTCCAAACAAATTTTTACTGGCTGGTTTAGGACCAGGGGCAAACTGAAGGTATATTCAGACTCAACTGAAGCTAAATTTTATATTTGAACTGGATTACTAACTAGAGCATTAGAGAAATAATGGGCATTAATGGTTATGGCTGCTGTCAAAGATATTGAAAATTAATAAAAAATTTCAAACAGGAGATAAAATCATTCATATAGGTTACACATACTATCAAAAGATATGGTCCTACTCTTGTAAATTAAGTCTGTGGAAGAAAATTTAAATAATTGAATCTATCTTGCATCTTTTCACATTTACACTGTTCCAAATAATCGTTATTGGGAACAGTGTTAATGTGAAAAGATACATTTAAAGCAGTGCATGTTCTTTGTATTATAAACAGTGTGATTTATGTTGTGGTAATATGATGGATAGACTTTCTTTTTTGAAAAGAGACATATAATATGATGATTGATTTATGTAATGTCAAATTTTATTATACTTATTATGTAAAGAAAGGTTTTTATATCCATCTGATAAGAACTTTATATCACATTCTGCATTTGCACTGTAGAGGTGAGTGCACACATTTGTTATTCTGGCTGAAAACAGGTTGCTTCTAAAATTGCAACCCAAAGTATAAATCTTAGTTTTGTGTTCATAATTATTAATGAGCTATCAGTTGTGTTTTTGTCCATTTCAAACTAAAGTCATTTCAACTTACTTGGGGACTTGCGTTATGGGGAACCAAATTGGTTTTTGGCTGCTCTGTTCAAAAGCACAGCCATGAAAAAATAAAGCTCATAAGTAAAAAAAAAAAAAAAAATTAGTGGAAAAATAATAAGTGGGTTGGAATTTCATTATGTCGTCTCTTTTCATAAAATGAAAATGTATCAAGAAGAATATTCTCATCTTTTAAAGTTGAATTAAAATGTAATGTACTTTCTTTTATGTTGCAATGTTCAAGGGGGCTGAATGACACGCTGAATAATTTTATTGCTTTTTGACTTAGAAAGAGGTGTTAGTACCAGGTAGTTTGTTGGTTTTATGTAAATTAAGGGGAATGCCTTTCAAAGGCGCACACCTTATTGCCTTTATTAAATCATTTTCCTTTTGTCAAATTATTTAATATTGGCAGGAGAAGAAAATACTTGGGATATGGTCCAGTACATACTGTAACTAGAGAGAAGGAGCTAAACTTGATATATACAAATATTAATTACCTTTTAAAGTACATTTTCAAGTGATTCAAAAAAGAAGTTGGTAATATTTAGTTAGTTCTTATGCACTGTTATATGGTTAAAATCAAAACACAGTTGAGATACAACAACTTCCATCTTTCCTTTTCCCCTAGAATAATTTCTGTGTTTCTCTTTTCCCTAGGTTACAGCCTAATCTTGACACCCGCGAGAAACAGTTGCAGTCCTGGTGCAGCCTGATTCTGTCTTATCAGAAACACATCAAGTCTCACACTCTGGATGTGGTAGAGATGCAGACCAGTTCACTATTTTATAACAAAAGTATAGAAAGTATCCTTTCATTAATTTGTGTTGTCCTTTCACCAAGTTCTTACCAACTTGAAATTAGTGAAAAGAGCTAAAAGTTTTTTAATTAAACACCAGTGTTTTTTTTTTTTGTATTTTCAGTGTTTGCCTTAACTAAATTTTCTCAGGAAAATTAAGTTTAGAAAGTATATATTTAATTTTAGACAGATTAGAAAAAAAAGGTAAGTCAGCTTGTATAGAAATATACCTGATATATATTACATTGACATATGGAAATTTGCATACATGTACCTGTAGATTTATATTGGTCTTAGTACTAATTAAGCTACCTGGTGACCAAGTAACTAAGTTACTTAATGAGAGTCATTTGATTCTACTAGTAAATGTCCCTACAGTAAGGCTCTGTTCACAACCAAGTTGATCTGCGTACTAACTGAGCTGCGAATCAAATATGATGCAACCCACATGAAAACATGCTGCGTAATTCCCTAGAGGGGTCCCCTGCAGGGAAGGTGCGTGTGGGAGGTGGAAAATCCATTAGGGGGTTATGCCACTTGCTTTCAAATGTGCACCATATTTTTGATATGTGGCTCAGTTAGTCTGCAGATCAACAAATCCATATGAGGTCAGCTTTGAGGAGGAGGGGGGGGGTCTACATCAGTGATCACCATTTGGTGATGTCAGATCAAATTAAAAGTTTACTGCCAATGTCCAATACACCTTATTATAATAAATATAAACAGTAAACATTCAGTTTATTAATTTCTCTATATTACACACATATTTACCCACATGCTCTGTAATTTTTTTCTGAATAGTAAATATTATCACTTTACAGATATTGATTTAATAAACATTAGATAATTGATTAGTTAACAAAATGTATTAGCTAATGAACCTATTCAGTTAAAGGGTAATTGATGTGATGTCAGTTAATTACTGCTTCTCCCTACAGTATTTGAATGGATATATGCATCATGTATACCTCCCAATAGTAAAAGTATATATGAGTGTATGTGTGTGTGTGTGTGTGTGTATGAATTAGGATTGCCTTGGGGAAATCAACCAAAGGCATAATTACTCTTATAATGTGACTTAGTTTCCCATGTTCAGGTCATTTTAAAACTAAATAATAGATCCGCTTACAGGTCCAGAGGTGCATTTCTATTATTGACCAAGAGGTGCATTTTTTGTTACTGGCTTTGGACATGTCAGTCTTATTTTCTTGTGACCATGACATCATGTGCATAGATCTGAATAATGTTCTGAGTAATGCCATCTTTAGCTAACACTGCTTAAATTGGTTTGAAATGAAGGGCATGCAAGAGAATTACACATTCCATCTTTATTTCTAATTTGTGTTGGCAAGCAAGTTAGGTTTTTCTTTCATTAGTATGGAGAATGGTTTTTTTGTATTCAGTTCAGTTGACATTAGAGAAGTTTTATGGCTCCATATTTATATTACTTTTATACTGACTTGGTGGCTCTGTTAACCTAGATAAGCAGTATAACATTGAAATACATATCCATTATCAGATGTAGTGCAGTAATTTAACTCTCTCATTAATTGCCTCTCTTGGGTTTTTTACAATTTCATTTGCTTTAATTCCATTTGACTTGATATGAGTTTCCCTCAAACATATTTGTCATTATACCCTTAAACATTTGACATCATACTGTATTGAACAGTTAAGACTTCATTGTCCATGTTGCTGTGTATTGTCCATGTTGCTGTGAATTGTCCATGCTGCTGTGTAGTGGGTGGTATCAGTGCAGGATTGCAGAGAGACTATGTTTAGATGGTTGACTAATGTTAATTAATAATGTTTACATGACCCTGTAAACACTACACAAAATAGACTTGATACTTCTGAAGAATTCTTTTGTTCCTAGTTGATAATTAATTTTGTTGGAGTAAAAAGGACATGGATTTAACTGCTGTCATTAATTTGAGGAAATAAATTACAGTTTTCATGACCTGGTAACTACAGCTTGGAAAAGACCATTTTTTAAACAAATGTCTGTGAGTTATTTATTTATTTATTTTTTTCTTTTTTGTTAGGGTTATAACCCTAAAACTAAGGACTCTAAGGTGAATACAAACATGCCTTCTGAGTCATGCTATTTAAGAGTGAGAGAGGTAGATGGAAAGTTGAACTTGGGGCAGAGAAGAATCATAGGGGAGGGATTTTGCTTTCAACAGCCTTACATGAATTTATGATTGGATTACCAAGAACAAAAATCATCATATACATTTATCTTTTAAATTAGGAATGCTGTGTTAATGCAACATTTCCATTCATTTTCTTGCCAATTTAGAGTGCTAAACAGTAANCATCAGTGATCACCATTTGGTGATGTCAGATCAAATTAAAAGTTTACTGCCAATGTCCAATACACCTAATTATAATAAATATAAACAGTAAACATTCAGTTTATTAATTTCTCTATATTACACACATATTTACCCACATGCTCTGTAATTTTTTTCTGAATAGTAAATATTATCACTTTACAGATATTGATTTAATAAACATTAGATAATTGATTAGTTAACAAAATGTATTAGCTAATGAACCTATTCAGTTAAAGGGTAATTGATGTGATGTCAGTTAATTACTGCTTCTCCCTACAGTATTTGAATGGATATATGCATCATGTATACCTCCCAATAGTAAAAGTATATATGAGTGTATGTGTGTGTGTGTGTGTGTGTATGAATTAGGATTGCCTTGGGGAAATCAACCAAAGGCATAATTACTCTTATAATGTGACTTAGTTTCCCATGTTCAGGTCATTTTAAAACTAAATAATAGATCCGCTTACAGGTCCAGAGGTGCATTTCTATTATTGACCAAGAGGTGCATTTTTTGTTACTGGCTTTGGACATGTCAGTCTTATTAAAAAATTTTCTTGTGACCATGACATCATGTGCATAGATCTGAATAATGTTCTGAGTAATGCCATCTTTAGCTAACACTGCTTAAATTGGTTTGAAATGAAGGGCATGCAAGAGAATTACACATTCCATCTTTATTTCTAATTTGTGTTGGCAAGCAAGTTAGGTTTTTCTTTCATTAGTATGGAGAATGGTTTTTTTGTATTCAGTTCAGTTGACATTAGAGAAGTTTTATGGCTCCATATTTATATTACTTTTATACTGACTTGGTGGCTCTGTTAACCTAGATAAGCAGTATAACATTGAAATACATATCCATTATCAGATGTAGTGCAGTAATTTAACTCTCTCATTAATTGCCTCTCTTGGGTTTTTTACAATTTCATTTGCTTTAATTCCATTTGACTTGATATGAGTTTCCCTCAAACATATTTGTCATTATACCCTTAAACATTTGACATCATACTGTATTGAACAGTTAAGACTTCATTGTCCATGTTGCTGTGTATTGTCCATGTTGCTGTGAATTGTCCATGCTGCTGTGTAGTGGGTGGTATCAGTGCAGGATTGCAGAGAGACTATGTTTAGATGGTTGACTAATGTTAATTAATAATGTTTACATGACCCTGTAAACACTACACAAAATAGACTTGATACTTCTGAAGAATTCTTTTGTTCCTAGTTGATAATTAATTTTGTTGGAGTAAAAAGGACATGGATTTAACTGCTGTCATTAATTTGAGGAAATAAATTACAGTTTTCATGACCTGGTAACTACAGCTTGGAAAAGACCATTTTTTAAACAAATGTCTGTGAGTTATTTATTTATTTATTTTTTTCTTTTTTGTTAGGGTTATAACCCTAAAACTAAGGACTCTAAGGTGAATACAAACATGCCTTCTGAGTCATGCTATTTAAGAGTGAGAGAGGTAGATGGAAAGTTGAACTTGGGGCAGAGAAGAATCATAGGGGAGGGATTTTGCTTTCAACAGCCTTACATGAATTTATGATTGGATTACCAAGAACAAAAATCATCATATACATTTATCTTTTAAATTAGGAATGCTGTGTTAATGCAACATTTCCATTCATTTTCTTGCCAATTTAGAGTGCTAAACAGTAACCATGCCAGTCCTTTCTTGGAAGTTCAGATTTAGCTAGTTTTAGATAAAAGAAAAAGACATTACAACCACAAATATTAAAGAAAACATTTTCATAAAAATTGACTTATATTGTGGAATTTTTCAACAGAAAATTGTCATATTCAAGCATGTATTATTGAAGACAGGAAGGTTTTTTCCTAGACCCCAATGGCCATCAGCCCAGATACACATAGCTTTCAAGGAGGCTGATTTGATGTCCTAAGAGACTTAAAAGGTGCTAGAATCGGAGTTAAATGGGGCGAAATTCTATGCGCTGTTAATTCTCTCTCAGAAAGCAATACAAAGTGCAAAACATAGTTAATTCATATTGTTGTACAATAGACCAAAATTCAACAGATCCCCCTCTCCTTTCTGACAAATCCCACATATTTTGTTTGATTTCATGCTACTTCACAAGACTTCTTGGCTTTCTCAAGTGATGCTCTTTTTTGATGTATTACCATTTTTTACTCCCTTATCTATAAATAAAACTTTAATTTTCTTTCTTTCTTATTTTAGAAAAAAATACTGTTTTTGATTTTTTTACAGAGCCACCCATAGCCCTTTAGGAACTGTTACAGTTCAGACCAAACCATTGTATAAATCAGTTATAATTCTTATTTTTCATGAAGGCCACATTGAATGGTTGGACAAAAGTAAAAAGCAATGCTACCTCATGTGGAGAACACCACAGGAATGGGGCAATACAATCTACAAATGGGTAAGCTGTAACATTTTTTTTTCACAGTGACAATTTTTTTAAACTCAATGCACTGTAAAAAAGAAAAGAAACAAAATATTAAGACGACACATTGGGACTCAAATTAGCAAAAGATGAAAAATTTAATGAAATATGACCAAAGAAAATTTGGAAATCCAGAAAACCTGGGTAAATTGTTTTAAATCAGTTTAAAGGGTGATGATGATAGTGGGCATTTTGGAAATTGTTAAAAAAGAGCACACTACCATGGGGTGCTTCTTACTCCTCTGTACTTGCAATCCTTAGCTTGCATGTCACGGCGTGACCTATGTACTGCCAACATGTAAGGTAAGAAACTTATTCCAGGGCCATTTATTTCAGCCTGTGGCATTGCATGAAGGAATTTATATATGGGTCATNATGTGTGTGTGTGTGTGTGTGTGTGTGTGTGTGTGTGTGTATGAATTAGGATTGCCTTGGGGAAATCAACCAAAGGCATAATTACTCTTATAATGTGACTTAGTTTCCCATGTTCAGGTCATTTTAAAACTAAATAATAGATCCGCTTACAGGTCCAGAGGTGCATTTCTATTATTGACCAAGAGGTGCATTTTTTGTTACTGGCTTTGGACATGTCAGTCTTATTTTCTTGTGACCATGACATCATGTGCATAGATCTGAATAATGTTCTGAGTAATGCCATCTTTAGCTAACACTGCTTAAATTGGTTTGAAATGAAGGGCATGCAAGAGAATTACACATTCCATCTTTATTTCTAATTTGTGTTGGCAAGCAAGTTAGGTTTTTCTTTCATTAGTATGGAGAATGGTTCTTTTTGTATTCAGTTCAGTTGACATTAGAGAAGTTTTATGGCACCATATTTATATTACTTTTATACTGACTTGGTGGCTCTGTTAACCTAGATAAGCAGTGTAACATTGAAATACATATCCATTATCAGATGTAGTGCAGTAATTTAACTCTCTCATTAATTGCCTCTCTTGGGTTTTTTACAATTTCATTTGCTTTAATTCCATTTGACTTGATATGAGTTTCCCTCAAACGTATTTGTCATTATACACTTAAACATTTGACATCATACTGTATTGAACAGTTAAGACTTCATTGTCCATGTTGCTGTGTATTGTCCATGTTGCTGTGTATTGTCCATGTTGCTGTGTATTGTCCATGTTGCTGTGTATTGTCCATGCTGCTATATTGTCCATGTTGCTGTGTATTGTCCATGTTGCTGTGTATTGTCCATGCTGCTATATTGTCCATGTTGCTGTGTATTGTCCATGTTGCTGTGTATTGTCCATGTTGCTGTGTATTGTCCATGTTGCTGTGAATTGTCCATGCTGCTGTGTAGTGGGTGGTATCAGTGCAGGATTGCAGAGAGACTATGTTTAGATGGTTGACTAATGTTAATTAATAATGTTTACATGACCCTGTAAACACTACACAAAATAGACTTGATACTTCTGAAGAATTCTTTTGTTCCTAGTTGATAATTAATTTTGTTGGAGTAAAAAGGACATGGATTTAACTGCTGTCATTAATTTGAGGAAATAAATTACAGTTTTCATGACCTGGTAACTACAGCTTGGAAAAGACCATTTTTTAAACAAATGTCTGTGAGTTATTTATTTATTTATTTTTTTCTTTTTTGTTAGGGTTATAACCCTAAAACTAAGGACTCTAAGGTGAATATAAACATGCCGTCTGAGTCATGCTGTTTAAGAGTGAGAGAGGTAGATGGAAAGTTGAACTTGGGGCAGAGAAGAATCATAGGGGAGGGATTTTGCTTTCAACAGCCTTACATGAATTTATGATTGGATTACCAAGAACAAAAATCATCATATACATTTATCCTTTAAATTAGGAATGCTGTGTTAATGCAACATTTCCATTCATTTTCTTGCCAATATAGAGTGCTAAACAGTAACCATGCCAGTCCTTTCTTGGAAGTTCAGATTTAGCTAGTTTTAGATAAAAGAAAAAGACATTACAACCACAAATAATAAAGAAAACATTTTCATAAAAATTGACTTATATTGTGGAATTTTTCAACAGAAAATTGTCATATTCAAGCATGTATTATTGAAGACAGGAAGGTTTTTTCCTAGACCCCAATGGCCATCAGCCCAGATACACGTAGCTTTCAAGGAGGCTGATTTGATGTCCTAAGAGACTTAAAAGGTGCTAGAATCGGAGTTAAATGGGGCGAAATTCTATGCGCTGTTAATTCTGTCTCAGAAAGCAATACAAAGTGTAAAACATAGTTAATTCATATTGTTGTACAATAGACCAAAATTCAACAGATCCCCCTCTCCTTTCTGACAAATCCCACATATTTTGTTTGATTTCATGCTACTTCACAAGACTTCTTGGCTTTCTCAAGTGATGCTCTTTTTTGCTCTATTACCATTTTTTACTCCCTTATCTATAAATAAAACTTTAATTTTCTTTCTTTCTTATTTTAGAAAAAAATACTGTTTTTGATTTTTTTACAGAGCCACCCATAGCCCTTTAGGATCTGTTACAGTTCAGACCAAACCATTGTATAAATCAGTTATAATTCTTATTTTTCATGAAGGCCACATTGAATGGTTGGACAAAAGTAAAAAGCAATGCTACCTCATGTGGAGAACACCTCAGGAATGGGGCAATACAATCTACAAATGGGTAAGCTGTAACTTTCTCTCACAGTGACATTTTTTTAAAACTGTATGCACTGTAAAAAAAAAAAAAAAGAAACAAAATATTAAGATGACACATTGGGACTCATATTAGCAGAAGATGAAAAATTTATGAAATATGACCAAAGAAAATTTGGAAATCCAGAAAACCTGGATATATTGTTTTGAATCAGTTTAAAGGGTGATGATGACAGTGGGCATTTTGGAAATTGTTAAAAAAGAGCACACTTCCATGGCGTGCTTCTTTCTTCTCTGTACTTGCAATCCTTAGCTTGCATGTCACGGCGTGACCTATGTACTGCCAACATGTAAGGTAAGAAACTTATTCCAGGGCCATTTATTTCAGCCTGTGGCATTGCATGAAGGAATTTATATATAAGTATTTAAAGAACATCCTGGAAGAATAAACAGATGTTTAAGAAAAGTAACCAGTATTCAGATCAAATTTTCCCAACATTGATAAATCTATTCATGCCAATCATTTATCTTCTAATGAATTCTTTAAAACTAATGACCATAGTTTTTAAGCAGGGGTTGTAAGTTCATTCAAAACATTAAGCTGTTTTTTTTATAGGGAAGATAAAAGGCAACAGTAATGTTGCATACAGTTATCTGTTTTCTCTTTTTACAGTTTCAGCAAGAGCAAAAAGAACCCTACTCTCTTTTTTTTTTTTTTTTTTTTCAACAGATGACACAAAGGCAGACTTAAAGGGATAATAGCTCTTTGTTTTGGCCAAAAAATTAATTTTCCTGGAGTAAACGACAATTTTCTCATACTTACCAGTGGATAACGAATCCATTTTTGTATTCAAAGTTAGTCCCTGGTTTTTTTCTAAAAAGTTTTTTTTGTTATAATCCCTTAAGAGATTATAACATATTATAGCCATCAGTGGAGGTCAAGTGGGCTAAAGACAAGCTCAGATATCGGCCTAATAGCTATAACTGCCGTTTTTGTGGTACAACAGAATATATTATATTTCTATGGGTTGTTCACAATGTTTTTATTGAGAAATATAGATCTCATACAAATAGTTATTATCCCTTTAAATTTAGGAACCATTTCACTATTCTGTTATGTTTTATGCAGAAAACATACATCACTGTTCAGATTGCTGTGCCATTTTCATTCATCATTTTCACTTCTAGCACACTGGGGAGACGTGTAAAACTGGATGTCATGACAGTCTGTACAGTAATTGATGAACTACACATGCGCTTAGAAAAATACACACGTAACGATGTATGCGTTGATAGCAGTATCACCTTATAACAAAGGCTCTGAAACATTTAACATACTATAGGTGTATATGTAGTACATAGTGGGTGTAGGGGAGGGGGGTCTTAAGATCAGTGGTCCTTTATTTATTTTATAAACCTGAATCAGTCCATCTTGGTTGTTTTAGTCTTGGGCCCCTAATGCACTAACATGTACCGGTATACATGTGTATTAAGAATGTATTACATTCTTCTACGTACATGTATCTATACACTGTCATGTATTATGTGAACTCCTTAAGATGATGCATGTACTGGTATGATATTGTACTCTGTTATGTTACTTACCAAAAACCAACGGAGTCATGCTGGTCATAGTAGAGCAGGAAATGTTCTGTTAATTTATGGCTGAATGATATATAGTATTGGACACTTCAGGTGTAAACTTTCCCTCTCAACACTATAACTCAGTATAATCTACTCTGTGACAACCTGGGGTCAGACATGGTCTGGGCATTACCTCCACTGTCAGGATGATGCGTACCTTATGAAACCTGTGACCTGGCAGCTAATTGCCATCACTATTTAATTGCTGAATGTTTTGCTTTCTGTAGGATGCAGAAATTTATGGATGTTCAGCACTGAGTTAGTTGGATTTGTGTATTTAATATATGATTGTATGTCTTGACAGCTTAAAATAGGAGACTGTTTAATTGATATCATGTTATTTGCTTATATATGATCATAAATATTTTGCCAGGCATTGCCATGTATTTACTGTATTTGAGATTCTGGTGTAAATGAATATTCATAATCATTCCTGTCCACTTCTAAACTTAGAAATACCAATGAAAGTAGGTTTTGTGGTCACATTTTTCTTTCTTGAAATTTTTGGGTTAATGTGAAGTTCTTACATTTCCTCATTCATAGCAGCATGAAATGCAATTTTAGATCAGAGGTAGTTTTTTTTAACTGAAAAAGGGCGCATGCACACAGGGTACTTAAAGAGAAAATGCTAACATTTAAGACAACTTCAGCCCCTTTCACTCCCTTTGATGATAAGAATGTTGCAGGGATCAGGTGTGTGTGTGTGTGTGTGTGTGTGTGTGCGTGTGTGTGTGTGTGTGTACAGACAGAGAGAGCTGAAATGTGGAGAATTAGATATATCTTAATTGTTTGAATCACAAGGTGGTAAGAAAACTGAAACCTTTTGAAGTCCAATTTATAAAGAGGCCTGTAGTCAGGTTCATGTATTATGATGCATGGATTTTTACTATCTCTTGCTGTCACTTATGTTTAACCATGAGATGGGGACTGAGCACTGGGGGACATATCAGTGTGAGCAATTAAAGAAGATGCATATGAAATCAGCTATGGCATATCATTTCAGCTTTAATTGTTATAATAGATTATCTGACCTCAGGTAGCCAGCCAGGCACTAATACAAGCTATAATTATCATGGTAATGTATGTTATCTCCCCAAGTGACCCCTGTGTAGAGGGAGGGTAGGTTCTGCCTAGCTGATCTGACCTTGTCTATGGCCTGGGCTGACAGATTGGTATTGTTCTGGGGATCTTTGAAAATTAACAAGGCCTGAAATGTAGACAGCAAGGTGTGCTTTAAATATGGAAGCACTCGACTACAGGCACCATGCCAAGTGGCAGTTTCATTAAGTCTGTGGGCCTTTTGCAGACTTGTAATTATTATCATGTTGCTACCGGTATGTTGATTTCAATGCAGATTTGATGTATTGAACAATTGTAGCAAAATAAACTAATGTTTGTTGACATCTTGGAGTTAAAGAGGCTGTTAATTCAAATCGGATGAAGGTACCTTGGAACACCAGGGTAATTGTTATTTTTATTGGACAAACCTCCATGTTAACAAGTGACAGTTTAGGCAGAAATATGTTAATGATCCAATATTTCAAGAGTAAAACTGGGTCGTGCTCACAACCAGTTGATCCGTGGACTAACTAGTCCCCAGATTAAATATGGCATGACCCACTTAAAAGCATGGCGAGATTTTATTGCTCTGCTCCTGCTGGGACAATGCATGTGAGAGGCAGAAATCTGTTGTCAAGTGCACACCATATTTGATCCGCAGACATGTTAGTTTCAACTTGTTGTGAACGTAACCTTGGTTATGTATAGCCAGTTAGGGCTGTGCACACCACATTGTTATTTTGATGTGTAATTACAGATCAAAATAATAACAGATAAATCAGTCATTTAATGCAAACTGCTATTGACCAGTGTCATATAGAATTTAATGTTACTAGTATTTCAAGCAAGACACACAAAAACTTCAAAAAAGCTCCTTCATTTGTGTTTTAACTGACACCACTTATACCCTAGCAACAAGTAGTTAACCCTTTTCTCCTATATTAACTCCCAAAATAGCTGACAGTTGACTGCTGTATGGGAAGGACTAGAGTACCACAACATTTCAACATTTCAGAGATAAACTAAGAACTAACCACATTTCAGGTGTGCATGTTGAATGTTTATGGGTGAACAGTTGTAGTTTGAAATTTGTGAATTTTTATTTTGGTAAATAAATGCACGATATCTGTTATGTGTTTGCAGGCGAAGGAAGCAGGCCTGGTGAACACAGTGTGCACATTCTATGAGTTGACTGATGGGGATGACACGGCTGGGCAAGGTAAACTAAATCCAATGACTGATTGTTTGATTTTTAAGTGTTTTTCTTTTCATTACCCCCCATATTTTACCTACAATGTCTACAGAGTTTGGTGATCCCCATTGGTCATCCTGAGCATTTGAAGTGGTCACTGATGTCCCATATGGTTGCTTACATAACTGACAGAAAATTAGAATTGGATTTTTCATTGAAATTAACACGCGGGGAAGTTCAAATTAGCTTTGCTCCTCTGTGTGTGTGTGTGTGTGTGTGTGTGTGTGTGTGTGTGTGTGT